ATAGTTATTATTTAGAAATATATATAGATATATAATATATATTAGAAATGTTTATTAGAAAAATGTTTTTTATAATTGGCTTGATTGACAATGAGTAGAAATACGGACATTAGAGGTGTGCACTGCAAGCCTTCATTTTAGAGGAAAAATTGATTGTAAATGATTTTTTCCTGACTCATCTGAATGTACATTAAACACCACGCGTGAAAATAATTTTCATTATCAATTTTCACTTATACTGTATTAAATATAAATATTATATTGTTTTCTTCAATAGCTGGGCAGAAATTGGAACGTTAATTATTTTATATCGCATCTAATCCCGCCGCGTCCAGAGAGGCGAAAGCTCTCTCTCCGAGGAGCCAGATGAGAACGCGAAAAATAATTTGCCAGCACCGCGGCCGGGGCAAGAAGCGTTTGCGTTTTGCTCACGAACGAGAGATAAGGTGCCGCGGGATAATACGTAATTCATCAAGTTGACATCCGGTGCAGTGTGCAGAGTTAATTATAAGCGCATCAATTCCGTCGAGTTCTTTCGGAGCTGAGAGATAAGCGATGCATCGTGTCTAGTGGTTGTTAAATCGTTGCGCTCCGAAGAGAATTGCGTGGGAGTCATCGTCTGTTCTAAAGCAGTTAGAATGTTTCCAACGATTGTGTTGAACCAACGGGAATTTGTTAAATGTTCATTCGCGACGCGACATATCGTTCTTTTCGGTGTTTCCAATTCGTTAGAATTCGACTCCAACGGGTTGGAAATAATTTCCGAGTGAACTTCGACCTAAGGTACGACGGGGACTCAACGAGGTTCGTTTTTTTCTTTTGGGCAGGTCTCGGATACCCGGCACGAAGGACGGTGCGAACGGAAACCGGACGATTTCTCGCACCGAAAGGATACTTCCAGACGATTTACGAGTCGATTAGCATGGTAATACGCGATTTACGCCCGAAATAGCCTTGACCAAACGAGTATTTTTATTTTCCTCGTCCGAACGCCGATCGTATCGAGACGTATCACGACTAAATTCGATCCTGGCCAGGACTCGTAACGATTCCAGCAGGACGAATTCTCGGACGAAGAAACGAGTCGCAGCATTTTATTACAGTATAAAAAAGAAATCGACGTTTATTTCGTCCCGTCGCTTAGAAACTCGACGAGCGCCGTTTATGCATACACAAAGAAATGCGTTATCACGCGTTAAGAGTAAAAACCGGCAAGAGATAATGCCGTACGTACATCTAATGCACCTACGCGAGGCCATCTTTAGAGATAAGAAAAAATATTTGTCGAGTAGATATTCCTGATAATCGATACGCGGTCCAAAATAAAGAAAAGAGGCAAGATAGAAAGAGGAGGAGGATAAAAGCGAATCAACTGTAACGCACAGCAGACGCTATAGGGCAATTACAGGGTCAACGGGCCAAGGAAAACGTCGCGTCGCGTCGTCCAGATACTCTTGAGTCGAGGTCATCGCCTTTGAGCGGTAGCCAAAAAATTTTTGATCTCCCACCAACGCGGTTCCTTCGCTCGAAACGGAGAAAGAGACAATCAAAAAAGAGTTCACTTACCATAAGTTTATCCTGATCCAAGAAAGGAAGGTCGCAACCTTTGATGTCTTTCGACTTGAAAACGTCCGCATAGCGGTAGAGATTTAGGGCAGCCATCCATTCGACCACGTTTAGAGACGTCCATTCACTCACGGGCTGTAGAAAAGACCGCGAGCACAGATTAGATTAAAATTTAATTCCAATACCGGAAGAATTATTTAAGAATTAAGAAATTAAACAAATTCCGATGTAACGAAGACTCAAGAGAATTCAATAAAAAGAAGTACTGAGTATTCGATTCTACATTTTTATTCCTCAGAATCAAGACAAAATTTATTTTAATGTTAGTTTAAGATACAATGGCTCCAAAAAGTGTTGAATCACTTTTAAAAATGGAATAACTTTTTTAATATTGAACCAAACGACATAATTTTTTAAAAGGCTTCATTTACTATGTAATGTGCAAAAAGATTTCAAATTGCGAAGAAAAAAATGAACGTGTTTTTTTAACTTTTTTATTGGGGTCTCCAAAAAAAGAAGTCCTCATTTTATTCAGAACAATCTCTCGTTGGTATAAAATTCCTTAAAAGCATAGTAACTACAATTTTTCGGGACACTATACACATAGAAACTATCTGCCAGTGAGACGAGAGTATCTAGCTTTTCAATTAATCAACTTCTCGTCTTACCTCGTCGTTTCTATAATTGAAACCGAGTGTCGAGGGAAAGCGAAGAAAGCTCCAAGTTCAATTTCAATAAAAGGCATCATCGAAATTCATCGATCACCCTCGAAACTTGTTTACCGGAAGCAAATATTCATGTCTTCTCCACGTTCAATCACGAAAAGCTAAGATTAGAGAGAACTGGCGCGACAGAAACAAGACGACAATGTGATTCTACATACGTACGTCAGTAACACGTCGAGTCTGCTTCGATAAAGCGAAAGCGTAAATATAAAGGAAAAAAGAAAATGTAACCTTCCCTCGTTTATTTTAAATGTACGATCGTGACGGAACGTAATCGCGATGATCTATATTACAAGAAGCGGCTTATAAGTCGATCTCCTGCGAACAATTTACGCTATCCGACCATTTTTCGTTTCGCTTTTGGGATCTGTCGCGTCGCGTTGAAAAATAGGCCTCTTTCGGTTTCGTCCAACGGGGACATCGAATCTAAAAATGTGATTACAATCGCACGTTCAGCGAAACAAGAATCGTGAACGTGTACTGTTTCGCGAAACGGACGTTCTTTCGTTTTGCTTGGCGCTAAGTCGAGACTTGCGGCGCAAAAACTTCCTGTCCGTCAAGTATTATCACGTGCATGAAGTCGCCGTTCCCGTGTTCACCGGAATTCGTAAATAGTGGGAGCATGTAATAAATGTCCCAATATCCACGTCACGATTTCCACTCACTACCCTTTTTTCATAATGTCATGTTAAACCGGTGAGTAGAAATTGTGAAGCGAATAGATATTGGAACATTTACTATATACGACCAAAATTAATAGAAAAGACTAGATGGAAGAAAGGAAAATCTCAGCAGTGCCTCCGACGAAGACCATCGATAAAAACAAATGGATTCGAACACTCGAGATCTTAACAGCGCTAATAAAGAGATTCAGTAGTTTCTCGAAATTTTATTCAGGCATGCTATGATTTGGGTCAACACTACGCCATAGGATTTCGAACGAGTAGGACCCATTCTGTGCGCGATATGTTTCGAGTAGCCACTGGGACAGGTAAATGAGAAGAAAACGGCTGTTCTAGACCCGTTACGCTTCGAAGCGCCACACCGCGTTGCAGACTAATTCACGACTTATGCAAATCAACCAGAAACACAAAGATTAGACGTCGAACCAGTTGGTTCACCTTCGAAGGCGAGCAACATAAGCGTGGTGAATAATTTTCTTTATAAATCATAACATTTCTATCAGCGTGATATGAAATTACACGTTTTCTCCTCTGAGTCGTCATTGCTTTATAATCGTTTCGACAACGTTCCAAACAGAATATCACGTCGTTAATATCTTTTTTGTTAAAAATAGGAAGCGAAGTACGATAGTTCACTGTCGATTAGGATTAATCGCTCAACAGCGCGCGTCCCGTGTCATGCGTCAAATAACGAATAAACAAATAAACAACTGAAGTAACAGATAATGAGCGATCGGTACTGACCTTATCCTTGTCGAGAACCTGGCCCGGTAGCACGTGACCCTTGCTGCTCCATTGGCAGAGGTGCTGCCCACTGTACTCCGAGCAGACCACGTGGAAGCACGCATGGCACTCTGGAGGACATAGAGAACCGCACATGCAACAGCACAAATTACGCTTGGCGGCTGGCTGAAGGCCGGCTCCCGTGTCCTTCTCAAGGGCACGAGAGGGCCAGCCACCGTTGCCGGAGCCCTCGTGACCGACTGAATTCGAATAGGTGCCTTCCTCTGCCACTAAGTCGTTAACACGACCGTTCACTGAGCCCGATTCACTGTGCCGCGGGACGACGTCGTCGTTACACGGGCACAATTGCTGATGAAAAGAGATCACCTTCGCGCAGGGGAAGAGCCCGCTCGGCCACAGCCGCGCGAATTCCTCGCCGCTTACGATCGGCAATCGCGGCGGCGCATTTTTTAAAGCCCAATTTCGTCGGAATTCTTCCGTGATCACGCTCAATCGAGACTTGAGAATATTCTGCCTCCGATGTAATGGAGCATTCGCGAGACTCGCGGAATTCGGCGAGGCAAGGACGCTAGGAGTCGAGGGAGAAGACGAGGAGACAGTGTTGCCGACGGAATAGGTAGATTGTTGATTAACGGTCGACGAGTATCGTTTGAGCAAGGACAGTGCAACGGTTTCCCTGGGTCTGATCGATTCGGGAGACGACGGTAACTCGTTGGCGGGCACGGTTTTATTCGAGCAGGGTATGCTGGCGTTGTTGGCCGTGATCGTGATAGTGTTCTGAAGATCATTGTAAGTTCCGTTGCTGACGACACCGTGAAAATTACGCGGCTGTGTTATTTGTCTAGGATGCAGTTGCAAACTCGGGACGATCGGCGAGGTAGCGGAATTCGCAGGGATGGTGGACGTCGAAGGAACGGCGGCGTTCGCCGAGCCAGCGCCTTTACGGAGCATGTAATTGTCCGCGTCGACGGCTAGGAGCCGTGACATAGCCGTGGATTTGGCCTTAGTGTCATCGTTAGGGCTCCCTTTGGGCGATACTTTGCTCGTGTCCGTCCTGGACTTCGTTTCGGCGATCTCCTCGTGTTCCTCCTTGTCCGCGTACCCCACGACCGCCGTTATCGGGCTAAAGGGATCGTGTACCCTGCCGTGTAAGGTGACTGCAGGCTGCACCTGCGAACCAGCGGTTGCAGCAGCTGCAGCGGATGCACTCGACGCCCGCTTCATCGCTGAGACCAATCGCAACCATTAAATCTTTACCAACGACTGAGTCTTCCACGTATTAAACGCTACGGTGGTCGTTGAGGGAGTCTACGCGGGAGTTGCTGCTTTCCGGCGAGTCCTGAGCCTCGCTCCACCGACACGAATCACCCCTCATATCGTCAGCGCCTCTCTCACGATCCCGCGTTACGCCGTCCGATCAAGGCGACTCTTGTTCTACTTGTTTTTCTTCTTCCTCTTCTTCCTCTGCTCCCGGTCCTCCAGAGAACAGACTCCTGCTACCGGCAGATTCTCTGGTGTTAAGAACGTGAATGCACCGATCGACTCGCGTTGCAAGATCACTCGCATGTCGTTAATGATCGCTTCAGTGATCGATGAGCAGACTTCTATTCCTTAGAAGCACGAGCGCTACTACGTTTCTCACGATCGACGTACGATGACGCGCGATCTACGATTTTCCGAGTTTCGGTCGAAACATTTCTTCGCTTAAAACCAGCACTGTCCAATCATCGCGTTGTTAATTACTGATCAGGCACAGAAGAAACGTGTCGTTTCGTATTCGACAGTTAGCTTATCGTCGTCTACGTAGATATCTTCGGGAAGAAAAGATTCCACTCGGTATTAGTATGAAGAGCGACAGACAGATAGAGAAAGACAGCGAGAGAGAAAGAAAGAGAGGGACGGAGATTAAGAGAACAAGAGAAGATCCGTTGATTTTTTGTGGATAATCACATCTCGGTCAGTCCGACATGATTCCAAGACGTGATACACGTCGCGTTGTCAACTTTCTTTCGTGCTTTATTATTAATATACTCCTAACGTAAACGTAAAAGAAAAAACGGAACGTGAAGAGAGATGAAAAGAGAGAGTCGCTCCCGTGGGTGTGACCTCGTGTAAATTCGTTTTCCATAAATCTCACTCCTACCACACTCTCTCTCTCACTCTCTCTCTCTCTCTCTCTCTCTCTCTCTCTCTCTCTCTTTCGTACGCGCACACACGACCTTTGTATAAACGCCGAGATTCGCTGAGCCGAACGAAACCGGTTTCAAGCAACGACACCGAACGATTTTCAATGTAGTCCCACGAGCGCGTAAGTATAGACGAGAACAGAGATCCTCGCGGGTTATTCGAAGGAGTAATTCCAGATGATCTTAGAATGGTCTCTTTCGTCGATTAGACCGGGTCTGTTAAACCGATAGAACCGTACAACGTTTCCTGCTCCCGCGCGCATGCTCCAGATCGAATCGGTCGTCGATCGAGCGACACGCGCACGACTCGATCTCCAATTTACAATGCTTATTGCAGAAGATGCTTCTCCTTTCGTATCGTTTTCGCTCTGCACTAACCTCTCTAACTCTTGATAAACGGTCCTCGTGTCTCTTTCGGCGATTTCTTGATGAGAAGATGATGGCGGATATGAGAAGACCGCTCGTTGCTCCGGATCTTCGTAACCTTCGTCGTGGTTAATTATGGCGAAACAACGGACTGCAGTCTTGGTAGCATACGTAAATTCGAGACGAGCTAGATATAGTTTCAAACAAGTTCTCGAGTTGCAACGATAGACAGAGAAGAGGCCAATCGTTCACGTTAAAAATGTGCTCGTCTAATCTCGAGGGGCTCACCGACTCGCTCTTTTTTCACGTCGCACGGGGACTCCGCGACTAATTTCGTCTGTTAAAGAAGCTCGCACTCCATTCTTGATCGCACGATAAAATCAATGGTCGCTGTATCCATCGTCGCGTAACAAAGAATCGATATCAATTCAAACGATCCGCGCACATATCACCGATCACGATACGGAACATGCTCGCGCTTGCCCTTATCACTACCACCAGAATTCTGCGACTGCTGCGTCTCCGCGGGCCGTCTCGCGTTCTTCCTCCTCGAAAGGTCGCTGTGGAGTCGCTTTACCAGCAACGAATCAAAACATTTGGTCGGTAAAGTAGCACGGGACGAAAAATCGTCGCCCCTTTTTTCAGACCCCGCGTATATATTCACCTTGATAGACGAGATCCGTAGACGAATAATCTTAATTACTCTTGCAAGTTATTTTCCAGCGAATATTTGGAGGAATCTCGAAAAAACGGTCTGATCGATGGAATTACTTTACCAGTCGGGAGCTACGGAACTTTTACACTGCACTTGGAACGCCGGACAATTGAGAGGTTTTTTATTTTCGTAAAAATCTAGTCGCGTCAAATTCTATTCGCTCTCTGATCAGTTGACACCGGAATACCGGCATATACGTGCCTGCTCCCAGAAGCAGCGCACGCACAGGATGGAAAAGTCCACTGGGCACTGCACTTTTTGCACCGGCAGCCTGCACCACGCGCACACCTGCACACACGACCACACACACACGTCACTTTCCGCGCGTATGTACGTATGTGCACGACGACACCTATCTACCCATCTGTCTCTTTCCCTCGCGATATCTTCCTTTCTCTCTTTCTCGATCGTCGTGTCGTTCCTTCACTTTTCTCGTCACACTCGCAAGCTCACTCTCACTCTTCCTCTCTTCCACCTCTTTTCACTCACTCACTCACTCACTCACTCACTCACACTCACACTCACACTCTCTCTCTCTCTCTCTCTCTCTCTCTCTCCCTCTCCCCTCACATCGCTTGTTTCTCTCTCTCTCTTTCACTATCACGTTGGCTCTGCACAGCCGGTCTACGTACCAACTATCAACCGTGGTGCCTAACTCCTGAACCCTTTGCTTCTTTTTCAATCCCTCCTCTCTATCGTCCACTCTTCCGTTTCCCCGTCGATCTAAACGATGGAACAAGTTTATTCCTCGCGAATGTATGAACAACGTATCCGAGCTCTCGGCTTTCACTCGATGGCAGTCCAGTGCCTCCGATTCTCCTTACGAAGCACACACCGAGTTTAGAGCAGCACCACGAATTTTCCGTGCGATCACCGGTCACGTACCACGATACTTGGCATGGATACTCTTTTCTCTGGTTGTCGGATTCTGCCTCCCTTTTCCTCCCTCTCTCTTTTTCTGACCTTTTCCTCTCTCTCTCTTTTTTTCTGTACGCGTTTCTTTCGTCTCTCCACCTTTGCCGATTGCTGTCCAAGTACGACGGTACATAAAACTTGACTTTACCACGCTCCGTCCCGTTCGGTGCACTTCTCTCCTCTCTTCGTTAATGTTCTCGTCGTCGTCGTCGCCGACCGCGAATCATACATCTACGCGGACGATTCCCAACCAGAGAAGATATCTCCGGCGGCTCGGCGTACAGCTGACCGGCCGGTCCGCCAAGTTCGGTCAATAGCCATAGCAGTCGCAACTTGCCGAGGGTTGCTCGTGCTCGATCGTCTGCGTTACAGCTCGGCTGTTCCCGTCTCGTTTCGGCTCTTCCCGTGGCCTTTATGCGAGCCACCTCCGTAGATAGCGACTACCAGGCCCCCGGGTTTCCTACCCGATCGAAGCGGCTTCGCGGAAATTCCTCGACCATTCTCTCCGCGTTCTCGGCTTACATGCTTCTCACGCTCTCACGGGGGTCTCTTCGTCTTATTCCACTTCGAATAGAAACAGAGTTCGCTCTCCTCGAAGCGAAGACAGTATGTACGGCGCCGTACGCGCTTCTGCCCCTCCCTCTCTACTTCTTTCTCGGTCTTACCAGGATTATCAGTAGATTTAATGCGTACAGCTTATGAATCGAGGGACACGAGTGGGCATGATACGATCATCAAAATTGTGCTACCGCTTGGCCGGTGGCAGAGGCTGACACAGTTTCCATAAAACCAACAACGCGATTCTTCCTATTTCTTATTGTAAACGTTCAATAATTAAAACGCGTCTGGGAGTTCGTGAAAAACCACCATCGAATTACAATCGGTCTGGCAACCCAAGCTTATTCTTATCTCGGACCAGCTACGATAAGTCTACCGAACAGGGACATCCGAAGTTTCCAAGCGTACGTGTAGTCAAATAAAGATCCGGGTTAAACAGCTGATATGAAAGTTACGCACGAGGAAAAAAGCCCGATCGCGCGTTTTCGTTCGTGACTAAATCGAGCTGGACCAATTTCGTAGCGTTAGCATTTCTAGCTACATGTCTCGTTTAAAAAACGTGTCATTCCTTGATGATCGTTTGTGTCGAGCGTAAGTTCCCTATTCGTTCATTCGAACTTCCAAAGTAAGTTAGAAGTCACGTTCGCTTCGAACGTGTTAAATATATCGGGATCCCGTCTACGAAGTACGTCGAAATGAAAATCGCTTCTCTCCAGAGGAAAGAGTACGAATCAAGAATCGTACGCTTTCCTTCCTCTTCGATAGCGTCGTAAATGCCAATACCAGCGGGGCTGGAATCACGTTTCATTTTTTACGAGCAACCTTCGTTCTGGTTATTGTTATTGGCAAAACAGTGCGTGAGGGGAAAAACTCGAATACGTAAGTACGCACGTGTCGCGTCGAGGGTGCTTCCGTCTACTTGAATCATATCAAAGAATATCGCGTATCTACTCGAAAGGGAAGAAAAGGACGCGAAAGTGAAAAGCGAATATCCAAAGTAAAAGAGAGGAAACGATGCGATATACGTAAGGATCCCCGGACGCTGTATGATCGAATGCGGTCGCGCAAGCGCTTCTCCCTCGTGTGTCCTATTCAAGGTCACAGTACAAACAACCCAACCCTTCGGTGTACCAACCCTTCGTATCGTGCAGCGCGAAAGAACCGATCGATTTCGCGTCGACAAGCCAATTGTTACCTCATCTCACGATGTAACACGACTTCCAGATAACACGTTGGCAAAGTGAATTTCGATCGATCAATCACTTCCCCAATTTATTTCCCCAGAGTTTCATTCTCAGTTTTCCGAAAACCTTAGGAATCTGGTTGAATGCATTTGCCTTATTATCTGTGTATATACACTCCATTTTTCTGGTCATTAATACCAAAGTACTTATACAGAATAAATAAATATAAGCTATCATTTCTTGATTTTCACAATGTCTATTCGAAAGGAAGAATGGATTTAATACGACCAGCATTTTTTTTTTAAAGATGGATATCATGAAAGCGGAGACATCCCTACCCTACAGGAAGGAGAGTAGAATACAGACAAGCAATTATAGGCAATACTATTCAGTTTGTTCTTTTTAAAGATGAATACCATGAGAGCGAATTCTAACTATCGCCGTTACCGCAAGAATCGCATACTAGAACAGTGGTATGTTTTAAATCAGGTCGAAAGAGGCGCGGCGCACTTTTCACGCGCGTTATTAGATATCTCTATTGCCTTGCCTGATAACTTTCAACTATACGATCGATGAATAAAATCCATTTAGCCGAATGTGTTAAAGCATAATGTACTACAATGAAATGTAATATTTGAACTTCGTATTTTCGCATTTCCCAGATCGGTATTGAATTATACGTAAAAAAGGACAATTATGGATTGAATGCAAAGATCAATTAACACTATATAGACTCCAATACTGAAAAACAAGACCGCGTATCGAGACGACTCGGAAAAAAATGAACAGTCGATACGTAGTAGAAAAACGGTCAAGCCTTATGTCGAAGATACAGCTTCCAGCCGAAAGGCCTAATGTCTCAAAATTTTTTTCGTTCTATGTGAGTTTCATAAATTTTGCATCATAAATGTAGCGTGTATTGTATTCTTGAAAGTTCAAACTTCTTCATGGTTTCCGGACATTGAGTACTTCGTCTCTAATAAAGAGCCGTACGTATAATTTTCCTGATTGATCAAGTGCGTTGATGTCCGAGAAGTGCGCGCGGGAGATCGACAGATCGGCAGCAACACACGCAAATCCGAGCACATCGAGGGCCAATTATAAAGAGGACCTTGTCATCATCTCTCAATTCCCGCATGCAAATTTTATCTCGACGCACTCGAACGCGACCGTGTAGCGTAGCGCGTATCAAACGATATAAGTAAACAGAATCGAGAATTTTTTAGTGCCGCTCTAATTCAAGCCGATTAGTCGCGAGAATTTAAATGGACATTGCGATAACGATAGACGGTATTGTACTTCTATCTGCTCAGTACACGGTGGTATCAGCCTGCTCGGGACCACTCGAAGAATGTTTATCGACACGATAGAGTGGAGCCTTTATTGAATGTAAATAATAGAGTATCGGCGTTGTCGATGCTTGCAACTTCGAGTGCACAAATTTTTCCTCGACGCGTGTAATCTGACAATGAGCGATTTACCAGTCAGACACGTGGAAGACGAATAAACGTTTCACGCGATTGTAAAACCGCTCGGTCGCGTCGTCGGTTCGTGTACGTAACCCGACGTCGCTCCCCCTTCGCTTCCGTCGATGTTTAAACACGAAGTACGTGACGACGACACGCACCGGTGCATCCGTATAATATGAGAGCCAGAACCTACAGCTGATATTTTTTATTCTACTCTTCCGACTGCTTCCGATATTTATTCATACCCGAAATCGCACGATGCGCGCGTGAACATCTAGGCGACCGGTACGATTTATTTCAAAAATCGATTATGTGTATGCTCCAGGGTTAGGAAACGTGATTACGCAAGCATGTAAATTTGAGCAAAGATTTTAATTAATGCCGTGTCTTTTAACCGGTGATGCATTCGAGATTCAATCGAAAAGAACGACTAATTACGATCCGATCGCGCGATGTCAATCTAAAGTACAGCCACGTATGTATATACGGACACAGACATAATAGGAAACGTAGGCGGTTGATTCTCGGTAATGAGAAGAGTTATACAGCGGCGTTACGCAATCGACAAAATTGCGAGTGCCGCGACGGTAATAATTAACAGCCAACGTAATTGTCGAACGGAAAGCGGTCGCTGAGAAACGTGCATACGTACATACATGTACATACGTATGGACGTACATACGTGCTCGATCGACGAAACGCGAATCGCGTGCACGCGACCTTCGGTTCGTGCATCTTTGCACGTATGCATCTCGACGCGTTACGTTTATGAGTGACTCGCACGGTAGATCGCGGACTTCATTTCCGCCGAAGAAATCGTTCCAGCGAGAATTGTCCATGAAATTTCCTAGATGCGCCCGACGCAGGTACGTATAATCGGAACATCAACGTTTCAATCTCAATCAGAAGATATCGTGGCTCCGTCGTTTCGATTCGACGAGAATAAGAATAGAACCAGGTGAACCACATCACCGGCAACCCTTTACCCAACAGATTATTCTCCTTGCGTTAGCTTCATTCTTTACCCCGGGAATCCCAAATTTCCCATAGCAACGTGGTGATGCACTTCATTACCAATGATCCATAAATCAATGCAGCTCCATTGCGTATATCCCGGGAGTCTATGTATCGAATGTATCGATGCAACTGTGCCGTGTCTCTACGTCCACGTTTCAATCTCCGAAATGCAAATTGATCGGAATAAAAAATAACAGATCCACGTCTCGTGTTACGCGATGGCCAACAGCACAGGAAATTAATAAAAAAAAGTGGCCGCGCTTAACAGATTTCATTCGACTGTTGCTGTCGTCTTTTAATCCTGTAATTCCACGATTTATCATCGGATTACGCATGCTTCCAATTCAACCGAAAGTCCAT